GACGTCGTCGGTGGTCGGTGGTCGGTAGGTAGTGTGGTAGTGAAGTCCACTCATCTTAAAGTGGCCAAGTTTGGACAACACAGCTATAAGCTATTTAGATAGTATACAGTGGGGCTTCCATATTTCAACACATGAGGGAGACTCTGCACATATGAGGTTTGTCAGATGCAGTCAAGTTCTAAACACGTATCCCATTAGCAGCTTGTGAACAAGCCCAGAGGATTTGTTCTGGGGCTTTCCTAGCATGAGGCGGGCAGTTGCCAGTTTTCAAAACTTCTAATGCCGGAGTGCTGTCAATTCTGTACTTAGGCTCCTTTATGCTAACCATACCAGCAAACTGATATAACCAAATACAGAAGGTATAAGGCAGAGCTATCAAACATTCCTCTCCAAAGAGGGAACACAGAGTGATATATTTCTCACTCTGAAGCAGCTTTAGTTGCTTTGAACCAACAATTTCCTGTCCATGGATATGGTGCTTCCGCATCAAATTAAGTTTGATTCCTGGTGACAATGCCTCTAGGGCAGGGACAGGTTAAAATACAACTGCAAGCCTTGCCTAACGTGTCATGTGATCAGGGTGGGGGGAGGGTTCATTTCACATGGGCACCAGAACTATACATGTGCCTGGAAAGCCCCATTTTACATTTTGCTATTACAGAACAAGGATTTTAATACAGTATTTGAAAAGTGGATAGCACAAAGACAGCTAAGTGATATTCCTATTTTACAGAATAGGAACACTGAGGGTGAAAGAGACAAACAGTTAAGCACAGCTTAAGATGTGAAGATGTTGAAACAATTCCGTAATGAATAAATTATTAAACAAAGACAGTAAAATACAAAAAAATAAAAAGACCAGTTCAATAGTGGGAGACTGTGGCTGAGGTGTTTATAACTTCTGCTGTTTGAGAAGATGAGTTATTACAAAAAAAAAGCATGAATGCCCCGGAATTTATGCTTTCTGCCTTCCCTGTCATGATCCCTCAAGTCTCTTAGTCCCCGCCTTGTAAGATCATTCAAGTACTTGATGGCATCCGTCTTTGTAAAAGAATCCTGGATATCGAGCAATTTTGTCTGAGGCCTAACCATCCCGCAATTAGGAATCCACTCTGAGGTTGGAGTGTAGCTTCTTACAGTCTCTCTGACATTAGAAGCACACTGGAGATCTGGTTTGCTAGCACATCTTTCAAACTTCAGGGGTGTTGAGGTTGGTTTACTAAGGATGGCGGGATTGTGCCACACTATATATCTGTTTAAATGGGAGGGTGGCAAGTCTTCATAGTAAATGGATTCTTCAGCCTTTACAAGAGGCTGTGGCTCAGGTGGCACTGAAAGTTGCCTTTGGTACAACTGATCTGTTTTCCAGGTATCCGTAATTTTCTGAAATTTGTTCCAGGGCAGTTTCTTATCTTGACTATTTTCTTCCTGGTAAGCTATTTCAGGCTGAATCCAATTGTAGAGCAAGTATTTGTTCCTTTGACTTGCTTTGTTTTGTGTATCCTGCTGAACGGGACTCAGGGATGTTTTCCCACCATTCTGCACTCCTTCCGAATACCTGTTTATGCTGGAATGGTCTCTGCAATGAAGTGGCGGCTCGTAGTTCTCTGTAGAATACTCATGTTGAGGATGTGAGATCTGTGGTCTGCCTTGAAGGAAACGGGCAATGCGTCCTTCTAAGGGCCTTGTTTGAGACATTGCTGAATGAAAGGTTTCTCTCTGAAGAACAGATGGAATAGAACTGATGCCCAAGATTTATATTTACAATGATGCATGTCTAAATATTATTTTCTAGGACCAAATAGACCTATATATTTCATATGAGCACCCCTCTCAATCTAGTGATTCTTAGTGGCTAACGATACATAAAACATAAAATAACACAATAAAACAATAGTAGAATGTAACTGAGGCTCCTAATAAGCTGTCTCACAGATCATCACAATAAGGCTCAACTAACATCCTGGCACCAGCGCCTGGCGGGAAAACCAGGTCTTCAAGGCCTTCTGGAAGGTTAACAGGGTCAGGGTCATCCAAACTTGGGTAATGCTGTTCCACAGTGCAGATGCCGCAATAAGGGAGGCAGGCCTTTTGAGTCCCACTAGATGACATTGTTTAACAGAAGGGACCCAGCGTATGCCCATTCTGCCAGATCTGGTGGAACGGGTGGAAACATCAAAAACAGGAGGTCTGGCAATGCAAGGCATTATAGTGACAACCATCACCTTGATTTGCACTCGGAAATCTATTGAGAGCTAGTTCCTTTGGTGGCAAACCAGTAGTGTTACACGGGCATACCGTGTAACATTGCTTCGTGGTGGACCAGTTGCAGTTACTGAATGCCCTTCAAAGGTAGCCCCATATAGACTGCATTGCAATAGTCCAACCAAGAAGTAACTAAAGTATGAGTGATCATGAGCAGGGCCTCCTGATTCAGGAACGTGCACAACTGGCAGACAAGATGGATTTGTGCAAAGGCCCTCCTGGCCACTCATTCCAATCACTAAGCCCGCTGTGCAACAGAGCTTCAAAAACAACCCCAAGTTCCCTCTGAAATCCAACCAGTCCATTAGGTGCTTGGGATGGACTGATCAAATAAGTCCTTCTGTCCTGCAGTGGGGAGTGTCCACAGAGAATTTCAAAGCTAACGTGTGATTTTGCCATGACATGGTAATATCCAGCAAATCCAGATTATGTCACCACTTTCCATACTTACAAGCTCCACATCTTTGCCCAGTTCTCCAGTTGCTCTGCCAATTAACTTGGCATTATAGTCATCCAGCAGCAATGGGTTCATAGGCCCTGTACCTTAAAAAAAAGGAACTAAAATGTTATTTTCATTATTTTTAAAGTTAAACAAGCAATATCTCTTTAATATCCTCTTTGCCTAAATTTTCTTGTTCATCCTCTCTATGTTTTTTAGGAAGAAAATACAGATCACCAGATGATTATTTGAAAGTGTTTGTGATTTATCTGCTTAACTGGAACTATAACACTTTAGTTTGCTAAAAATGTATACCTGTGTAGTCTCGCTTGTAAGTAGATAGCCAAAGAGCCTTCTTTACATTTTCTAGCAAATTGGCAGCTCGAGGTGAAATATCGAGTGCTGGAGGTTGGAAAGTTGATTTAGGAGCTTCATCTCGCTGACCATTTCTTTCAGTGAACTGAAATTTGGCATAAAAGTATAAATAAAACATGTTGAAGCCATATTTTGAATGCAAACTGCTCCCTCATTGGTTTGGGGATTAGCAGTTTTTAAAATTAAATTTAAAACATCTAAAAATCTAACAGGATGTTGTATATATTTTCCATCTCACGTGTACCTCTCTTTTTATTTTAGAATAAGTTGAGTACCAATTGGGATGGAAAGTGTTTTCATTTTTTTGCCCCTGCTGTTGTCCTAAATAAATTGGACTTTTGAGCCCCTCAGTGTGTTAATTTTTTTAGAGAATGTCAGTTCCACACATACAGAAAATGATTTGGATGGAGACCACAGAGCTTACCAAAAGTTAAAACACCCTAGCTTTCCTTCTAGTTCCTGATCCAGTTCAGATCTTTAGAGAAGAGAAGAGAAGAGAAGAGAAGAGAAGAGAAGAGAGAAGAAGAGAAGAGAAGAGAAGAGAAGAGAAGAGAAGAGAAGAGAAGAGAAGAGAAGAGGTTTTAGTAGCTATATGAAAAGTCTGTTAGAATGAAATACCCATTAGATCAAGGGTACACAACTTAGTGTTCTCCATGTATTTTGGACCACAACGCCTATCATTCCTTGTCATTGGACCATGATGTTTGAGACTGATGGGAATTGGAGTCGTCAATACGAAGTTGAATACTAGAAGTGTATGCAGTGGAGGAAGTCTGGTTTAATGCTGAGCTTTGCGTGGCAATGGCAATATGTTCTGCCCCACTGTCAGGCTTCCCCTTATCAAGGCTGGCCTGAAATCAGTTAAGCAGGCACAAAAACGATAAGTAATTTCTGTAGAAAAGCTAAGAAGTTCTTACAAAAGAATTCCAAGGACTGCTGTATATCAAAAGCGAGCCCTATTTATATTGAAATCAAATTTCATATTTTTGTACCTCTTTGTCCCAACTGAACTATACAACAGCCTGGACAGACTTCACCTTTGGGTGGGAGACCTGGTTTCCATCTGTATCTTATTTTGACAGTGAACAACATATTTACTATTAGACTCTTTTACTCTGACTATCTAAGAACTTTCACACAGCACACAAGGCCAGGCTGATCTGAAGGAAGTGCCTTCTGTGCAACTGTTCACATGTATGGAAGGCACTTTTGCCAGATGAAGTGTGGTAACTGCTTACTACTAGACACCACAGTACCTCCTGCACTGAATTTCAGGGGTGTTTGTAAAGCTCCTATGGAATATCTCTGGTGTAGCTTAAGGCTTAGACACTGCAACTGATATTCCAATTGTTATAAAAATTAGTAGCTTGTGGTTGATGTGTGTGTGTGTGTGTGTATGTATATGTGTGTGTGTGTGTGTGTATACATACACACACACACACACACAT